ACCGGAAATTATTTTCTTTGTTCTTCTTTACTGCTTAAACAAACCCCTTAATTTCTTGTCTTGAGCTGTACTTTAAAACTTTCCTGAACCACTGACAGACCGCGTTCAGCTCTAAAATACACATTTTACTAGCTACTACAGCATCCGCGAGACTGCCTAATGTCTTTAGTACTGTAACCATCACTCGGTTCAGCATTTCTAAGATCCGGTCAGATGTTAATAGTGCCTTCCTTCTACATAGCTCGACAACTGTGCCATGTGACCCCTCTTGGTTAAACAAGTTGTCTCAGAACACAAGCATAAACATTTACTTAAGAAACTATAAAAAATATCATAACACCAATGAATTTAAATTTTTCGACACGATAAATAACTAAAGCGGAGCAGTGAAAAGGCCAGGACAAAACCAGTTCTAAATCCTGAACATATCCAAGAATGGGAACAGTCCATCAGAGGCTATGAATAACACAAGGAAAATAAACAGCTTTACACTTCAGCAATTACAAACTTGATCTATGAGATAACCTTCTTGATAGAGATGCATTACGTAAATTACGGCAATTTTTAAGAATATTGGATAAGTTTGTCCTAACTTTCAACTTATATTTCTCATAACGGAAAGATGCACAGAGCCATGAAATTTTCAGACTATCAGTTAGCTCAGTTGAATTTATCCTTCGTCTCTAGTACAAAGCTTCATTCTGCCGAAGGGCTAACGCTCGAAACGTCAGCTTTGAAACTCTTTACGGCGGCCAATTTACGATATCAACTCAGTTGATCATACCAAATTACCTTCTCGCACAAAGCAGCGAACTAAGCATGTCACTGAATTTCTTCGAGGTCTCAAAGAAAGTACTTGGGGTATAAAGGGAGGGAATAGCGATATTCTTCCAATTCTTGCCAGTATCCTCCATGTGAGAAACTGGTTATTACAACTCAACTACTCTCATCATCCTGAATTTGGGTGGATAAACAATGATTACTGAAACCTGAGGTCATCGAACACGTACGCAACCAAACCACTCCTATTCTGGTAGATATCAGAAGAAATTGGCAAAGTACCTTTAAAAAGTTCAGTTTTTGGACCGGTAGGAAAAAAATAAAACAAAATAACAAATATAAAAACAAGAATAATGAAATGTGCAGAACGGCCGTGGGTACGAAAGCTCTGGGAATGTTTCATTCCCCAATTGTTGTTGTATTTCTCTAAATATTAAAAAATTTTCGTTTCTGACGAGAGAATTTCGATTCAGCTGCCACAGGGGTAGTTACTGTTTATGACTCTCAGAAATCACATTTGTAGGAATCCTCGCTTAAAATGAAGTTTTAAAACGTTTTAAGATCCTCTGAATTTAACATGTAACTTCCGGTGAAAAATGTTTGCCGTCGTTTTTTAGCCAATATTGATCTTGTATGACAGACAGCGAAAACCTTTTTACACAACAATCAAAGCATTTTGGTAGAAAATATTTTGAGCCGGGGCTTATAGATTGTGATTACGATGTCCTTTAGTAATATCTAAATTACAATTATTCCTTGCGAGTTACATGAAAAAAAATCAGCTGGCATCTATTGCTTTGAAATATGTACAAACAGTAAAAACGAGAAAAAACGGAATAATTAGATTTAGATTATCATAACATGTGTAGAAACCTTTACTTTAATGAGATGGTCGCACCGTGTAAGTTCTAAACGTCGTAAAAATGTTTGCAAATAAATTTTGATTGCAACATTTTTTATCACGTAAATGAATTAAGAAACTGGTAGGTTAATGTTTAGTGTTCGTTTATTTTCTAGAGTGTAATCACCAGTTGTTTGATTGGACATCACCAGCCTGGTTTGAGCACTAATGGCACAATTAACACGTCATGTCTGTATAAGTGGACAGCAGGCGTCAAAGTCACGCGCTGTTGTCCCGCATATCGCGGAGTTAATTGTTTATGAAAACGCATAATCGATGTCTCGTCTGACCAAGTTTCCATCTCGAATTTTGTCATAGTTTTGATTAGTTGGTAACAGGACTTCGTGTCGTCCAATTCTGTCTGTAATCCAACTAACTGGGTAATGCGCCGATCAATTCGAGGCTTCAACATTCCCCGCCCCCGCCGCTGAGCATTTGACTGTCGTCCGTACCGGGGTGGGGTGAAGAGCTTAAACCAGAGGCGTAAAGTCTTTCCAGCAGAATAAACGTGGTTTATCTTTTGATATGGAGGTTTTAAAACATACGATACTGATAAAAGGAAGATCAGATCCAGCATTTGGGTGAGGAATTTAAACACAATTTTGGCCTCAGGAGGCGGGAATTTGAGCGAACCAATCTTGAAAAGTTCAAATGCATGGGGGCTGCTCTTTGCATTTGACGCTTCGAATTGATCGACGCATGAACGCTTGACTGATTGATTTTCGGGACAAGAATAAACCCGTTGGTAACATATTAGCGGACTATGTCAAACAAGGCTATCTGAGTAAAAGTTTCGTAAACTCGTCTCTCCTGCGTTTGAGATTATTTTGAACTGAAGTAACTCAGAGTGGTTTCTTTACATTAATTCAAAGCAGAATCGCGAGCTCTTTGCATTCCGTTACTTGCGGGATGGTTTCTACTCACATGTACACCTGGCCGATTATTCTTTTGGCGCTTTCGTCGCATTTTATCTCAGTTAGTCGCAGTCATGGTAAGTAGTAAGCCTAAAAATGCAAGCAGAGAAGCTTTTCACAGAAGCTGAAATAGGACACCGTTGTTATGCAAAAGTGAAACAATCATTCTCTAAAAACGTTTCTCAACGACTCTATTTGGCAGGTCGGATTAGATAATCGTTATGTATTCTTTTACGACCTGTGTTTGTTTTCCGAGTTGAAACTTGAGTGAAGCCCTTTTTTCTTCGAGGGATCCATCCAAGTAAAGTAGGTTGAAGAGTTAAGATGAATCAGACTAACATTTTTTCTCGGAATGAGCTCGGTTGTATTACTCGGTTTGGCCGATTGCTTATCGATTTGGAAAGGTGAACCCGATGTTCGTGAAGGCTTTGTGAAGAAGGAGCGAAAATGGTGGCAAATATTGATAGCTTAAATGAAACAAACTTTAGCAATCCATGCCAGCTGGTACTGGATCGTACAACGATGTAAGTGAGTTAGTTGTTGAGGTAATGAAAATATCTGGAATCGCTGACTATCGAAGCCGCAATTAGGAAAGGTATTTGCGTGGGTAAATTGTATGTTCACTCTCAGTTTTTTGTTATTTACGGTTCGGTAAAAGCCAAGTTTTTTCGTTTGTCTCACGATGTAGTCACGTGTGATGTAGATCGCGACGTTTCGACTGCATACTGCTAGTCTTCTTCAGGCGATGAAGACTGAAGAAGACTAGCAGTATACGCAGTCGAAACGTCGCGATCTACATCACACGTGACTACATCGTGAGACAAACGCAAAACTTAGCTTTTATTGTTATTTACCAAGATGAATAACCACAGCCTTTTTACAGTACGGTATTGACAAACGCGTTATGCATCTGATTTTAAAGCTCATGGGTGCCCGAGTGATATGGAATCGAAATGTTGTATGTAGGTGGCATGTATAAAATTGACTTTGTGGCTGTGACTTGTGGAAAGATTGTATTTCTCTTGACTTTTGGAAGCGTATCCTGTAGTAACAAGTCCATGTGCTTTCTAAGATGCGATTTGAACTACGTTATGTTCGATAATTTGGTTTCTTCGAGTTCGTTTTGGATGAAAGTGAATTATTAACAAACTTTATGATTTAGTTTAATGCATGTATTGTAATTTTGATCTCTCTTGGTCAGACAAGTTACAGAGCCAAATTATATTATACAATAAGAAAAAAAATGCAATTTTAATTGAAATAGAATTTGCCCAAGAAATGTTCAGTATCCAAGTAATGATGATAATAATTATTATTCGGTTCATACAGTTTTAAACATGTTGATCTGGAAAGTAACCTGAGCTACAATTGGAATTGGTGATGTTTAATACTGCAGAATGCAGACAGAATACAAAATGCACTTCAAACAAGTTTTCAAAATAGCTTCTGATTATAGGCTCGTTCCTATTATTTATAACATTATTGTGCTTGAGAAGGAAAATTTTCACTTTTTGTCGCCTATTTGATTAGATTCATTTCCAAATATAAAACACAAGGCTTGTGTATGGAAGAAATTTCTCCTTCTTTTACATTTTCCATCGCAGTCATATGAAAAATTGTTCTCACAAACTAAGTATGCCATTTTAAACTTTAAGGTGCCAAAGGCACTATCAATCAATTCTTAATACAAAAATGCAATGATTGTTTAGGTTTGATTTAATCTTGCCAAAAAAGTTAACCCACGACACACCTTGACATGCATGCTTATAACAATAGGCCATTTTACAGTTGTGCACTTATAGTCACAAAGCCTTTGATTTGGAGTGAGGCTGAAGGTGACCTTGTTATGATAGAGACCAGTATCTAGTTTGCATGATAACCAAGTAATTTACAATACAATACAATACAACACTTTATAATTACGGCTCCCCTATATGAGGCTATTCTATTGTAATACAATAATATTTATATAATAATTTACAATGGGTCAAAGAATATTTACATGTGTTGCAAAAAAAAAGACCAAATAAAATTTAAAATAATAGTAATAATAATAATAATAATAATGATAATTAATATAATTTGGCATAAAGGTGTAAATTAGGGTTGAAAGATCCATTTAAGAAGAGTTTCTGATAAAATGGGCCACTTTCCTTTAAGATCTAAAATATCATTTGTGCTTTGAATTCACATTTGGAAAGCAGCAAAGGGGTGTATCATAACAAGGTCACCCTTAGCCTTACTCCTATTCAAAGGCTTGGCAACCAAGCACACAACTGTAAAATGGACTATTGTTATAAACACATCTACCCCTGCCACTGAAGTCAAGAAGTACATTTCTAGAGCAACAGCTACAATTCTAGGCAGAGCTATGAATAATTTTATTCCTCCCATATTCCTATTAATATGTCTTTAATCATTTATTTTTGTTATGTAAAGAATGTTCAAGTGCTCTTGGTATGGAGAGTCGCCACATCAAAGATGCTCAAATCACTGCATCTTCACAATGGAATGGAAATCATGCAGCAATCCAGGGAAGATTGAACTTTAAGGCTGGTGGAGGCAAGACAGGAGGATGGTCAGCTCGGTCAAATAATGGAAATCAATGGATACAGGTGGCTCTTGGCAGTTACACCAAATTAACAAGTATAGCAACACAGGGAAGGAATGCTTACAGCCAGTGGGTAACGGCATACAAGCTGCAGTACAGTGAAGATGGAGTGAACTTCTACTACTATAAAGTACCAGGACAGAGTTCACCTAAGGTACATAAATTACCATGTGTCAGATATTGAAAGCTTTTTGGGTATATCTCAAGTCGACCTGTAGAAAATGAACCTTTAAGTGGACAAAAATCTGTTGATATTCATGTTGTATCATTATTTGAATTGAATAGTATATTGACAACTAAATAATGTAAAAAATATTGGCATGTAGGTGATTATGCTTTGCATTTCTAAGAATTGCTTTGTTCAACCCTTAAACTCCCAGAAGTGATTCCCATGTAACTTCTCCCAACAATATCCATCCACTATCCAGCAAACAGGTAATGAGAATACTCAAATATATCATGTAGAAGTTGTTATCTTGGTATAATACCAAGTTCTTGCAACTAATTTACAAGGAAATGTGTAACAGTGAGATGTGAGAATTGACAACCAGATCATGGGAGTTAAAGGGTTATTTAATAAGCAATTGATACTTGACTAAACAGAATAATGATAATTACAATGATGTTAATTTGTTATGGGAATCACTTATCTTACTAGATTTTGTATGTTGATCATTTAAGGTTTTTAAAGGAAATAAAGACAGGGATAGTATTGTGTATCATAGAATAAGCCCACCAATCCAAGCGCGTTATATCAGACTCAGACCCACAGCATGGTATCATCATATATCACTCAGGATGGAGTTGTATGGTTGTCTAGGTATGGTAACTGTTACTCTGAGTCATTAATCAACATTAACTTATGCTTGGAGTACCTGCTCATCCATGTATATTGTCAATTGACAAACAGTTCTGTTAATTATTTTCAAATATTTAGAGATATTGGGCTAACACATAAACATCATCTAGGGATTGCAATTGGGTGCAAGAGAGAACTTCTAATTTTGGGGGATTTTGTAGACGGAATTATAGGGTAAGGATGTTGATGTGTGGTTGATTGACAAAAGATGTACAAAATTAAGGAAATGTTTTTGAAGGACCAAACATTTGGTACTTGTAAATATGCACTTGGTAGCAAACATTTTATTTTCCATATCATGCGGTAAATTGTGTTGCTCACATTACATGATGAAAGTCGTTTTGTAGGGATAACATGACAATATATTTTACTTGAGATGTTTCTTATCTTGTAGGTTCAAGTTAGTTAAGGACTTAAGTATTTCACACCAATTTTACAGTATTCACAAAAGCCAAAAATTTATATTAAAACCAAACAGTTTGAGGTTCTATTTCCTCAGCTATTTGGTGTTAATTTGATAAAGAACAAGTTTCAACTGGTTACTTTGACATGAAAGTAACCATGTTTTCCAAACTTTTTCTAACTTAAAGTTGATTTACTAAAAGCATTATAATTTGCCAAACTGTCTGTCCTATGAAATGCCCCAATTACAAAGTTTTTATTTCACTTCATTAATTGTTTACAAAAACACCTGTCTATTCCAATAAAGGAAAATGTAATTAGAAGTAAGTCACTGGTTCCCAGGATGGTGCAAGTTATGCTGAGACGTCTGATTGTTTTTGTGACTTCTTGATGAGCTATACTTATGAAATTCAGGGGATTTCTCATTTAGATTTGAAGTTAACGACCCTGAGAGCAATCTGGGAATTTTCTATAGATCTCATCCATCACATAGGATACTGTACCTGCATGCTTTAAAAGGAGTAAATTCTTCGATTACTATTTTGTAAGATTTTTCAGATAATGAGAACTGTTTGCTATAATTATTGTGTGAGTGTGAATTGTGTGGTTCTGCATCTGCAGTTATCTGGTAAGAAGTCTTGTTACAGTAACTATATCTACACAAGAACCGATGGATTGCAAAATGTCAAGCCAACAAATTGCATATTTTGCATGACTGTAAAATAAAACTGCTCTTTCACTTTCTTTATTTCTGTAAAGAATGTTCAAGTGCTCTTGGTATGGAGAGTCGCCACATCAAAGATGCTCAAATCACTGCATCTTCACAATGGGATAGAAATCATGCGGCATTCCAGGAAGATTGAACTTTAAGGCTGGTGGAGGTAAACAGGGAGGATGGTCAGCTCGGTCGAACAATGGAAATCAGTGGATACAGGTGGCTCTTGGCAGTTACACCAAATTAACAAGTATAGCAACACAGGAAGGAATGCTGATAGCCAATGGGTAACAGCATACAAGCTGCAGTACAGTGAAGATGGAGTGAACTTCTACTACTATAAAGTACCAGGACAGAGTTTACCTAAGGTAAATGTAGAGGCAGTTACTTGGTTTAAAACTGTTGAAAATATATTCTTATCGCCCTTGCGAACTGAATTCCCAGTTTTCTGGGAATTCCTAGGAATTCCTAGGAATTCCTAGGAATTCTCAAAAATTCCCAATTATGCAAATGACCCTTGCAAACTGAATTCCCAGTTTTCTGGGAATTTCTGGGAATTTCTAGAATTCCTAGAAATCCTAGGAATTCTCAAAATTCCCAACTATGCAAATTAGCTCTGATTTAAAAAGCTTGGAATTACTGGGAATTTCTGGGAAAGGAAGACTCCAGTTTTGTGAGGACTTGAATCCCTAGGAATTCCTAGGAATTCTCAGCTTTACAAACTACCTATAATTTAAGAAGTGTGGAACTCTTGGGAATTTCTGGGAATTGAATTTGAGGCAATTTTAATACCCTGAGGTCCACATAAATTCTAAGAAATTCTCAATACCTTGAATGTGAAGGTTTTAAGAAAAAGAGTAATTTCAGAGGCTTAAAACTTTGGCTCAATAAAAGGTATGCTATACAAAACTTACCAAGAGATATACATACATGTACATGTTTATAACTTAAAGATCATGAAATTTATTACTCAAACTAAGTTTTAGTAAATCTTTACATTAATATGGATTTTCTCATGAACCAGCTGTCAGTTATGTTAAATGGAAATTGCCAACTTCCACAATAATTAACAATAATTACATTGTTATCTAACTTCCCTAACCTACATTACTGGTTGCCTTTGTTAGAAAACCTCGGAACAGTCAAGCTCAGTTGCCTCCAACGCTGTCAGAGACTTTTTGTTGACAATACTTTTAGTAGAAATTTCATGCCTTAGACAAACAAATTCAACAACTTATTAATCTTTCTTTTTTCATGATTGTTGTTGCTGCTTTTTTTTCAGTTTTTTGCTCTATTTTCAAGACTAATTGCTGTAATTTGTTTTGCTGTTTTTATTCTTACAAAACATTTTTGTAAGAGTTCCAATACTTGTGGATCATCCACACACTTTGCAAACATTTGGCATGCAGACAAGACAGAGGTAGTCAATGTTCCCTTTGAGGAAAAACACCTTTTATATGACGTCTTCAATTTACTTTATTTGAAACTCTGATCTGAAAATATTTGTCAACAAGACTTGTTAGTAGTGAGAAATACCAACTAAGTTTCCTTTCATAACTTAATTTCTTAAATGTCCCAATCACTGGATCTCCCTAAAAACATTACATCTTTTTATTATTGGTGCAAATTACAAGTCCTTCTTTATATAAAAATGAAAAGTGCTAGTCACACTTCAATAATAACAGCTCTTAAGTTTACTTGTTGTTCTTCTCTGTCTGTCAGCTATCAACAAAATTGTTTTATACTTCGGGCAGTGCATAACTATTTGTGGACCAGAGTTCCAACGCACCTCTGTAATCGCATATAGCTACTTCTGTCTCTTGTACAAATGTTTCTCCTTTGTAAGACGCACTCTACTCTGTTGTCAATACTGCTTTAAGTTCAGTGGAAACGACTGACTGAGGAATCGAGATGGCGGTGTTGGAACGTGTTGCTGAACGCTTTCTACGGTCAAGCTTTGTAGATTTAGGTACTGGTACACTGGGATCATCTATGTATCTCTTATACTTCCGAATGTGGTATCCTTCTTTTATAAATATGAGGGTAAAAGACGATTTGTAGTCGCATTCAAAACTGTGATTGGCTTGTGTTATTTCTCACCTTTGCCATTAACACAACTCAAGTGAGTTTCGAGTCTTTGTTTCCTCGACAACTTTCGGCCACAAATCGTGCTTTTTAATACGATCGATTCTTGTCGATTATTTCTACATAGAGTGAGCTCACATCTTTATTTATATCACCAAGCTATCCATCTTCTAGAAGCAGAGAACCGGTCGGAGAAGTCAGAATAAAGTTGGGCACTTCTCCTAACACTGCAATCGGCAAGCCAGCGGATTCTCTCTGCTAGCCAATGACAAGTCCTAAAAAGATCCACGTGATCATGCCCGTAATCGGAAACAAAGAAGACTCCATTTGGCGCTCATCTTTGAATGTACTTTTCATCGGTTGATCGCTTTTCTCAACTGTTTTGCTTAATATAACATTTCTAAAGATAGCTTTTATTGTGGTTCAATGGGAAAACGAGAATAGCGTGAGTGTTGTAAAAAGAAAAAGAAAGTCGTTGGCGCCGTGGAGTTAAAAGAAGGGACAACAGTTGACATATTGACTGGTACAAACAAGGGTCGAATGGCCATTTGTAAAGCTACGATTTTGAAAGTTTGTGGTGAGTAAAATTGCGATATTCGTTACGTGATCAAAATCTTATAAAAGAATAGATGTAGCGGGTTGGATTAAACACATAACGCTCGGCGCAACTGAAACTAGAATAATTCTGAGAATCGAATCGGTCCTTGCATGCCGCAGTTTCTTAAGCTTATTATGCTTTACAATGAAATAAACCTATCAGTAAGGTTTCAAGATTCCTCTAGTCACGTTTGGGAACATTCAAGATTCAAAATAGGAACTGTTATTAAACAAACCTTAGTACATAAAAAGCCCTCCTTGGTAAAAACAAAATAATGTATTCAGCCCTTTTTTAGTAAAATCCATGAGAGAGATGTACTAACTCCAATATGAAAGTCACTCAATATAACAGAGATTTCTCAATTTGAGAATCAATGAATGCCCTTTTCCTCATAGCCATCTTAAAAGCCTGGTCTGAGCTTTAAATATACATATTTTAATATATTATTTTTTTCAAATTCAGATGTCAAGGAATCCAGATACAAAATGGTCAAGGTTCTTGTTGACAACCTCATTCAAGGCCAACTCATTGTGAGCCCAGGAAAAAAAAAATACAAACAGTAGAAACAGCAGCTAAGTTTGCAGTTTAGGATAACTTCATTCTAATTTATTGTTACAGTTACAACAAGATTTTAATCAAAAATCAATTTTATTTGACTGTAATTAGCCCCTTCACTCCCAAAGAGTGCTTGGTTTTCAAATATAACTTAAGATATTGTATTTTATGGAAAAGAATCAACAGATTTTATTCACAATTTGTGTCAAACCAAATTTAATGATTGATTAGAACTATTTTATATGAATAGCTGTAATTGAGGATTAATCCGTATGAAGTTTTCAAGAAAAGAAAAATAAATCAAATTCCATCCTAATATTACCACACATTGATGTTAATAATTAATCAAAAATATTTTACATGTAAGCCTTAAATTAAACTTCTAAATAAATTTCATTGAATACTTGAATTTTAGCTGGGTTTTTTTAATTTAAAGTATTTATTTTATATCATTAGCCTCAAATTTTTGCTTAAAATTCCCAGTAATTCTTAAACATTCCTAAAATTCCCAAAAATTCCCCAGAAATTCCTAGGAATTTTTTAGATTTACAACTTTTTCAGGAAAGTCATTGGTTCTCTGAGTTGGAATTCCTAGGAATTCCTAGGAATTCCTAAATTCCAAGTCCTGTTGGCTATAAACTTGGAATTTCTGGGAATTTCTGGGAATTTCTGGGAATTTCTGGGAATTTCTAGGAATTTCTAGGTTTTAGAACCAGAGTTGTTATGGTTGGGAATTCCTAGGAATTCCCAGTCCGAATTTACCGTGAAAATTCACCCTTTATTCCTAGGAATTCCTAGGAATTCCTAGGAATTCTAGGAATAAATTCCTAGGAATTCCTAGAAAATCTAGGAATTCCTAGGAATTCCAAAAGCCATTCAAGGGGTGTCTGCACAGTATACAGGTAACAGTTATTATATGTTGCATGTAGTCCTATTAATTTATCTGCAACGACCATTAGGGGCTTATAATGCAGTCTACCATGGAATAGGTTAATAATGCCACATATCTAGCCTGGCATTCAAAATTGGTCTTTCTTGACTTTCTCTTGCATATTTACAACAAGTGCAATAAACACGTTACAATTTTAAATGTTAGTTGAAACTATTGGAGAATCATGCATAATCCAACAGGAATGGCGAGACTGTGGTAGCTGACTACTAATATTACTTGCATGTATTTGTAGGTATTCAAAGGAAATAAAGACAGAGACAGCATTTTTTATCACCAGTTAAACCCACCCATCAAAGCTCGCTACATCAAACTTCGACCAACATCGTGGTATAATCATATATCGCTAAGAATGGAGCTGTATGGTTGCTCAGTAGGTATGATTATTATCTTACACCAACTTATTTGGCACTGAAAATTGGAAGGGTGAAACACGTGTTTTGATTATAACCAGCATAATGCTGAAATATGGATATGGCAAGAAACTCCAGATTGTTAGATGCTACATTATGACATAGGTAGAAAAATTTCTGCTTGATCGAATTTTGTCTAACTTTTAACTTTTCAATAGAACTGTACGTACCTACCCACAAACATACCTACATACCTCTGTACATAAACACACACTCGTGAACTGTTCTTTTACCTTCTTTGTTTCTGTAAAGAATGTTTGGCACCTCTTGGTTTGGAGAGTCGACGCATTAAAGATGCTCAAGTCACTGCATCTTCGCAATGGGATGGAAATCATGCAGCAATCCAGGGAAGATTGAACTTTAAGGCTGGTGGAGGCAAGCAAGGAGGATGGTCAGCTCGGCAGAACAATAAAAATCAATGGATACAGGTGGCTCTTGGCAGCTACACCAAATTAACAAGTATAGCAACACAGGGAAGGAATGCTTACAGCCAGTGGGTAACAGCATACAAGCTGCAGTACAGTGAAGATGGAGTGAACTTCTACTTCTATAAAGTACCAGGACAGAGTTCACCTAAGGTAAATGTAGTATCAGTTAATTGGCTTTAAACTGTAAAAATATATGCCTATAGTTGCACGGTATAACAGTTATAACATGTTGCAAATAGTCCTATAAGTTATGTGCAAATACCAAGGGGCTAAGTGCCTGATCATGCAGTCTACAATGGAAGAAGTTAATTATCTAGCCTGCATGGCATTGCGACAAAATTGGTGTTTCTTGACTTTCTCTTGCATATTTACAACAAGTGCAATAAACACGTCACAATTTTAAATGTTAGTTGAATCTATTGGAGAATCATGCATAATCCAACAGGAATGGCGAGACTGTGGCAACTGATTATTAATTTTACTTGCTTGTATTTGTAGGTATTCAGAGGAAATAAAGACAGGGACAGCATTGTTTATCACCAGTTAAACCCACCCATCAAAGCTCGCTACATTAAACTCCGACCAACAGCATGGTATGGTCATATATCACTAAGAATGGAGTTGTATGGTTGCTCAGTAGGTATGATTGTTGTCTTACACTTGTTTTGGCACTGAAAGTTAGAAGGGTGAAACGTACATGTTTTGATTACCAGTGTAATGCTGAAATGTGGATTCTGGAGGAAACGCTAAATTGTAGAATTTAGAACTTTTTTTTTTTTATTTAATGTTGCTATTAAGCTTTAGTGGAGATTCCAGAATGTCTTCCTTTTGAGGCGGGTCAGTCTGTCCTGGGCTGGCAGCAACATGGTGCAGGAAATTTATTACAGGATAAGAAAAAGCCTTTAGTTTGATCTGTCTTACAGCGAAGTCCGGGCTCAGATGGCATTCCTGTTGAGGTTTTACCGTAAGCGAAATCAGCACTCTCTTGCCACCTGCTCTTACGCCGGTGCTGGGAGTGGGTATGAGCTGGGCTGGCCTGGGTTGCTTAACCTTGCACGCACAAGAGCCAAAAAAAAAGTGTAGTGAGTCGTGGGCCGGGTTGTTCAAAGCTGGGTTAAGATAACCCAGGGTTAATGTGAAAACTGATTTCAAATCTGAAAGCTTTAAAAAAAATTCATTTTAATGTAATTTGTGTACAATCTTAAGATTGGATGCTCTAAAAAGAATAGAGAAAATTATCCAAAAGGGCATTTGAACAAAGTAATAAAGATACAAGATTAAAATTTAACCCTGGGTTCGTGCTAATCGGCCTTGTAACAGCTTTGCCGCTCTGACGTCCCACATTTAGGTGGGCCTTTAGTTTCATCATTTCCATTACTCCTGCGTTTTGACTTTTTCTACGAATAAAATTCGCCTTTAGCTACCTTGAACTTAACCCAGTCGCTTGTTAATTCCTTTTAAAACAACCTGCATTTTATTACTTATTTTTCACACGCAGGGCAAAGTCTAGATGGGCAACAACTAATCAAGGAGCCCTCTCTGATATTATCGTTTGCTCTTGTTCAGTGTATCTTCACTTATTCGAGATCGCATTATATCTTTGGTTATGGTCTAGTAGAGGTACAACAGAGTTTCAATTTGCTTTTCGTAGTAAAATTACGCGAAATTTTTTTTAGGCAACTTATTATAGACGAATAATTTTGATTTTCTCTATGTTCGAGGGACGGCGGTAAGCATTTCTTTTGCAACCGTTATTTGGTCTCGTTACGCAAACGCACTCTCTCCAACGGGAAATGGAGGGCGTTGGCTGACGAGAATAAACAACAGCGGCGAAGTAGACAACAGTAAGCGTGGCACCGATTTCATTTTACTTAGAAATATTTAGGTAATAGACCACAAAATATCTGTGTGAATTCAGATAAATTAGGTTTTTTCTGTCTTTCTCTTAAGGTGAAGTGATGCGATATTTTCGTTCTTTTGAAAGTTATGCTCTTTTCAGTTGCAAAACTGAAAACATTAAAAATATACAAACTGTCGCCTCTCAACCCACACAGCAAAAAAAATTAACTTTTGCATGCTACGCATGCCTATGTTCTAATTTGTGTCAACTTACTTGTTTTCGAATCAGTTATTTCAGTTTTTTTTTTGGTTTATACATATTTCCAATCGAGATTGTATGTACCATCCGATTCTAAAATTTTGTATGGTTATACTACTATACTTGTATATTTTTTTCACTAAAAGCTCCTGGGTAAATGTCCTCTGCGGCGATAAAACCATGACCATTGTCATCCCAAAGACCCTCCTCCGTGGTCTTGATTTAAAAGAATCTTCGACTCCTGGACACCAAATGTAAAGGCAAAGAAGGACGGACCCACCTTAGCGTTACAACATCATTGACGGGCTGTAAAACTGTCAGCAGATATACACCCACAGCTATCATCTACTCCAACACACTGAAAAATACCCGTGGCCGCTAAAAAGTGCTGTAACACGCGTACATGACATAAAAGTGCAGTTCAGCTGCTATTACTCAGCGCATGGTATAGTTTCATCGCTTGGTTGGACGCCAATTAAAACAACACTTGAGCTTCGAGAAGAGGCCAAAGGAACTTGACACTGTCGTTGAGAATGTTTCACAACAAGGCATTTGTGAATCCTTACACGAAAGTTGATTTCCCTGTTGCTGTGGAGCTGCATAGGCGATTGTACTTTGAGGTATCCGTGGCAACAGATGACAAAAAGCTGTCAGTCAGGGCTGATCGATGTTATGCCACGCCCACCCAGGATCAAAAGAATTCTCTGAAATATGTGTTTATAAAGAAAGGGTATGTTTAGTGATAAATGTTTTGGACACTTATTTTCTACTCCTTTCGAAAAATTACTCTTGGTTTATTTTGCGGTTACTTGAGACGTTTTCCTAAGCAACTAATAGTTAGTGACAAGTAAGAAAAATTGGACACACTTCGTAATCTTGAATTCCATGATGATCAACATAAGTTTAAAAAAAAAAACTTTGTTAAGGATATTCTTAGGCATAATTTCCCTTGATCAAAATTTGCTTTACTTTAGCTGCCCAAGTGACGCAACAGTAAAATATCATTCATCGCCTTCTTCTCGTGCTCAGCGGTTCAGCGTGGGAAGCCTTTAAGTTCATTGCTGCTCATCCCTTTGTTTTCGTCCACTGCCAAGTGACTGTATACAATGCAACCAACCCAGGCTCAAATGCTCGGTGAAATGTCCTTCAAGTGGCCGAGGGAAACGTGAACTGAGTGATAACGTGACTTACGACGTGTACTCTTTAGTGCAGGGACCCCTGCACCTGACGCACGAGAAAAGAAAGGAGAACCGCGGGAGAATTCTGGATAAGACTGGTACGTAGATGAGCTGTTTCAGGGGACACATATTAGGGATGCATCCTGAGGATAAATTCTATCCCCGGCCCCCAGTACCCCATGGACCCCTCTTGAAAGGCCCCTCAAGATTTTTGAGTTGTGAAAAATATCTCTGATAACTTTCCCCATTCCCAAAATGATTCACCCTTCTTTGTTTGTATATTTTTCCCTGACCTAATTACAAACGTATTGTTACGACATCTTAAACCAGCATGGTACAGTATGACGCTTCGCAAGTGAGGATTTTTCAACTTTGCAGTGAAATTTCTTTTGAATTAAGTCTATATTCCCCTTTTCTGTGACGTCCCTAGGTTCCAGTCCTCACATTCCGAGGCTCTGTCCGCTGACAATCATCACAAGTAGCTTCAAACTCATTTACACTTGGATTTGACCTGGACTTGAACCACTGAAGGATGTTTGAGCTGGATATTCGTATAAAGGGTGTTTCACAAGTTCGTGCCCATTTTTCTAAAAGGCTATATCTTACTTATTTTTGCATTCTGAAGCCGTATTCTTTAAAAAAATTACCTAATTTTGCTTACTTTTTAACCAAGTTTTATAGTCATCCAAAAGTTGAAGGGAAAAAACATATTTAAAATAATTTTCCGGCATCACAGAAATAATTTCTGTGATGGCTAACCGACTAATAAAAAAGCACTCACTTTTCGCGTAATTTTTTTTCTTTTCGTAATTTTTACATCGCTATCGACCCGGAACAAATAAGAAATATTTTTTTCCTTTTTTGATGTTTTTT